CAGGGCCCCGGCGAGGGTTGGAGTGGTCTGGAAATGCAGAGTTAACAGGCTTGGGGTAGGGACTTTTCTCAGGGATGGACCAAATATCTGGATGTCATTTTTCTAATAACTTCTCAGGTGTAGAAATAACTAATTCCTTGGGGATTGCCACATCTACCCTTCTGTCAGCTGACCCCTGTTCCACCTTGTCCCTCCCCTGGGTGGGGGGGACATCCTGACCCCACAGCTCTCCTCTCTGTCTCACTCAGACCTTCTCCTGAACACCTTCACCAGGCTGTCCCGGTCATTAACTCCTTCCTGCCCAGGTCTATCCAGTGCCTGCCTCCTCCCCTGATGGAAATGCATCCAGAATTGAAAACTTCCTGCCAGGATGCTTCTAACAACAGGTCCTAACAACCATGGCCCTCATGGGGCTGGGCCCTGGAGGAGGCTATCCACGGACATCCACCACTGGCCTGACCATCAAGATGGCTGCCATCAGTGGACAGCCCAGACCATCAGGGTGACCCCAAGAAGGCACCAGCTGCTCCCCACAGCTCTTACCTCCCTGGGCTCTGCAGATCTGGACTTCACATTGCTTTTCTGGTTAGCAATGCACTGCTCTGGGGGGGAGGTGTGCGTCTCACACTTCTGGGGGATCTTGTTGAGGACCAGTGTTGGCTCTTTGCTGGGGTGGTGCGTGTTAACTCCCTCATCCACGTGAGGGCTTGGGGTCCTCAGGATACGGCCGCCAGTCAGTACTAAAATCAACAAAGATGGGCAGGAACAGGGGTGGTCAGAAACTTGAATTTATTTCCTGGGGCTGATTTACCTTTAAATGAGGTGATTCCGACCCAAGTCAGGGTCCTTTCTCAGCAGGGGTTCTCAGCCAGAAGCATCCCCCCTCTCTGCACACACAAACACACCCAGTACAGCTGGCATCATCTGGAGACGTTTCTGGCTGTTAGAACTAGGGGGATGCTACTGGCATCTAGTGGGTAGAGACCAGGGATACTGCTCAGGATTCTCCAGCCCCCCCACGGAGCAGGCTCTGCCAGCTCAGAAGGCAGCGATGCTGAGACTGAGCCCTCACAGTTGAGACTGCACCTGTGGCCCCTTCTGGAGGGCTTCGGGGGTGCCCCCCACCCTCACTGCTCTCTCCCACACCACCCCTCATCCTGGCTCTGCGAGCTGACTATCCGTGCTCTCTGTGTGAATCTTCAAGCTCTGAGTCCTGTCATCTCCCAGCAGGGATGACTGTGCGTGTGAACTGAGGGTCTTCTTTTCTGAACTTCAGACCACCCTCCCAAATAAGTATCCTTCATGCTGCCTACCCAGAACTCCCTCACATAGCCATGTCTAAAGGCACCCCTCTGGCCCCTCCCAGACTCCCTGGGTCACCCCCATTTTCCTCCTTGAAGGTGCTAGCCTTTGGCCAGCCCACCTTTGCTCCTCCACTAACCATGGTGCCCAGTCCTTTGGAATCCCCAGCGTATCTCCTCTCTGTCTTCGCGGTAGTGTCCCCACCACCACCACCACCACTGGGCATAGGGTCACTCTTGAAAAAGTCCTGACCAGCCACAGCCTCTCTGCACCCCCCCCCCATCCCTTCTTTGTTCTGTCTACCAGGACCATCTTCCTCATTTGCAGGACAAAAGAAACTTTGTGTGTTGTTTGCAGTGCGCTCATCTTGGCATCTCCAGAAAGCTTCTCCGGTACCCCCCCCCCCCACTTCTCTCTACCCCTGGTCCACGTGTCACCTCACCTGGCCATGCCTGGCTTTCCTTCCACTGCAGTCTTTGTTCGTGGTAGGCTAGGGTCCCTCACCAACCCCCGCCCCCACTTTGCCTTCACAGCCGAGTTGGGGCCCACCTGAAACGCCGTTTGCGCCACGAAGGCCTTCCAGATCTTCCTCGTGACACTTTGTTAATTGCCACTGTTGAGGACAAAACTTTGGATCTGACCTCTTTTGATTCCCCTCCCCACCCCCACGTGTGGCGGGGCCCTGGCAAAGCCTTGAGACCCAAGAGCTTGTTGACAACTGCCTGTGGACGTGCTGAACAAAGGGGCTCCCGTGATCGGTCTTGAGGGGCGGCCTCTTGGTAACGCATCTCAAGTCTACCCCAACCCAGTGAAGTAGACGAGACGAACACACAGCCACGTGGAGACAAGCCGTCCACTGGGGGCCCCATTGGAGCCTCTACTGGGGCGCCAATCAACCTCAACTGACCTTCCACTTTTGCGGGGTTCGGCTCCCTGGGGGCCTCAGTCCCTTACCATCTGGGCCGTGGTTCCGTGTCGGGGTCAGGGTGCTGGCGCGCTCGGCTTCCAGGCCCTGACATCTTCCTCTGCGCCTTGTGCCACCGATGATCGTCCCTTTATATTGGACGGACTCGCCCATCGCCATAAGGGAGACCAAAGGGTGGCCCCTAGGGGCCTCCTGACCCTTCCACCCAGCCCCTGTGGCCCGTGGTGTCAGGGTGTCAGGGAGACTGGCCTCCCAGCACGGCGTGGCCTTGTGGCCTCTCAGGTGTGGCGGCCACGGCGCCGCCCACCCACGCCCACCAACCATCTCATCAACACAACCTCTTTGGGCGTTCCAACCAGGCGCCCCCCATCGGACCTCCCCCTCATATCCGGTTTCCGGTCCGACGCCCCCTGCTCATTCGCCAGGCGGCCTTGATTGGCGTGACCCCAGCCCAATAGCTGACCCGGCACAGGGGTCGCAGGGGGAGTGCGTGTGTAGTTGAGACCCTGTTGGCCTTTGGAGTAGTTGACCAAGTGGTATAGCCATGGTGTGTGGGGTAGTTGCGCAAAGTTTGCACTAAAGTTCATTGGTGGCACGTGGCAGTGTGTAGACTCTTAGCGCAAAAAGGATGTACCTTTGGGGGGTTTTGCCAACTGTTACCAGGGGTTCGACTTTTGTGAACTTAACCGCACCCTGGCAGCCCACGGTGGACGGATGCGGGAAGGAGGGGGCATCGGCGCCCGAGGCTGTGATATACTCTGTAGAACTGGACATGATGGGGCTAAGATGGGTTCGCGCGCGTGCGCGCACGCGGGTTTTGGCACAGTGGTCCAGGCTGTGCGCTGTTGCCACAGCGTGTCCCGAGTGTTTTCAGTCGTCCGGCCACGTGACGTTCCACGACCCCCAGGCCAGGCGACTCTTCACCCCGTCCATCTGCTCTGCACCAAAAGTTGACACGCGTTCCGTGTCGTCTCCTGGAGGAACCTCTCTGATACCTGTGGGCAGAGATTTAAGCAACCTGCGAGGAGGAATTTTCTCCGTGGACTCGAATCCCTATGCAGACCCCAGACCCATTGCGGTCCGTGTACCTGTACCAAACCTACTCATTCGGTGCGGATATTTTTCCGTGCGCGCCTGAAGCCGACTGCGCGCTTTGGCAATAGGAGCGCAGCTGGCGCTGCTGGGTCTGTAGCCCGGCTCGGTGCTGCCTAAGTGGACTCAAGCTACTGCCCTGGAGACCCACACTGACATTAGGGGTCTGAACTGGGGGGGAGTCGCGGGGGGGGGGCGCCGAGGGACCGACCTACCCTGGAGCCGGCACAGAAGCAGCTGTGCGCTGCCACGGGCGCGGCGTGGGGAAATGTGTTTTGGAGTCAGTGCGCACAGAGTTGTGCAGGCTGAAAACACCCCAAAATAGCCTTAAACCCCCAACCTAAATCCCTTTCCACCCTTCCCCATAATGGTAGGACCCGCGGAACTCGGAGGCCTGCGCTCTGGGGGAGGGGGGGTGTCTTCCGGTGCGCTTAGCGAGCCTGGGGTCCTGGCTGTGGAAGCAGCAGCGCCCGGGGAATTTTACCGGCTCCCGGCAGTGCACACCCAAGACCCTCTCATTCTACTGCATCATAGTACGCAGAAAGGAGGGGTGGGGGTGGGGAGAAAGCCCTGCCGGCGCCGCCTTAGGCCACTGCGGAGACCCCCAAATGTGATGGGGAGGGGGACATGAAGTGCTTCATGGTACCATCCACAGCAAGCAGTAAACAGAAGCACCCCGAAAAGTGCCCTTCTGCATTAGAAAAACAAAGTGAGCCCGCATCCGGCAGCCCCCCGCCTCTCCCTCCCTGCCTCGCCCTCCCTTCCCCTCCGGTGGGCTCTCGACCACCTGTCGCATCGCCGCACACCCGCGCCCACCTTCCCCGCCGCCCAAAGCTTGCGCTCAGACACACGGAGCTGCTCCGGATCCAGGCTGCTGGGGGCCGGGGGCTGCGGCAGAGGGGTTCGGGGTATCCTGGGGTGATGAAAGCTTCCCGCAGTCCCCCCTCCCCCCGGAGAAGAGTAGTTGGGTCCAAGAGGGAGGGTTTCAGCTCCAGCACTCCAGTAGCCCGGGGCCCACGTCTTGCGTCACGTGTCCTGTAACGCAGGAGAGCTCTCTTCGGCCGAGAGAGAGGAGCGGAGAAGGACTCCGCATCAGCCCACGGAGAGGAGTGGAAGGCAGCAGAGCGACCCTGCGGAGGCTTGCGTCCGCCAGACCCCTACCCAAAGTCCGGTCCTGCCGGCTCCTGGAGCCTGCTCCGGGAGCCGCTCCGGCGCTGGGACAGGCTTCCCCTGGTGGCAAAGACTGGTTACTGCGAGCGGTTTTTGGACCGAAGCGGCGCGCTGCTAAGAACGGAGCTCCTGAGACCAAGGCTGCTCGGACCAGAGCCGGCGGGGCTGGCCTTCTGCAGAGACTGAGAGGAGGGAACAAGGCAGGACAAAGGGGGAGCCCGGGGAGGGGGGGCAGTCTGAGGGGATAAAAGGCGGCTGGAGAGGAGCCGAGTCTTCAGCAGCAGCAACTGGCTTGCAAGACTCCCTCCTCAGGAGCAGGCTTGCATTTGCCACAGGTCAGGGGTTCAAGGCCTTGAACCACTGGGCTTCATAGAGGTTAGACAGTGAGCTTGGAAGACTTTGGAGGAAATCCTTAGAATTTTTTTTTCCAATTTTTTTTCTTCACCCTAGTTAGGTTGGGTGCTCCGTCTAACGGAGCCCCAAAATTATTTTAAGAAGCCGCCACCGTGTTATGGGCGTGCGCAACTGCCTCGACGGCAATTATATGTCAGGACAACGCGATAGCACCCCTGAGCTCGAGCAGCAGCCCCAGCAGCCGATGGAAGCCCCAGGGGCAGCTGCCCCCGGTGTTGGGCCTGGCCCAGCCCAAGAGGTGGCGACCGAACCACCTGCTCTTGAGCCCATCCCCAGTGAGGAGACCAACAATGGCGAGGCCTGCGGGCCAGCACAGGTCTCTGAGCCCTCAGCTCAGGGCCTCGGAGAGGCCATCCAGGAAGGATCAGGCCTGGGAGACTTCAGCCCACCTCCTGAAGAATCCATGCCCTTTGAAGTCAAGCAGCCCAATGCAGGAGGCTTCTGGCCTCTCCTGGAGCAGCCCGGCCACCGTGCAGACCTCGGAGCCACGAGCCAGGCCAGTATGCAATCTGGAGCCACCCAGGGTGCCCAAGCAGGCATGGCAGGCTACAGCCCTCCACCAGAAGAAGCCATGCCCTTTGAGCAGCCCAGCCAGGGAGCCGGCAGTCCAGCTCCCTTCCAGCTTAGCACCCTTACGCCAGAGAGTTCAGGCTTGGGGGTCCCCAGTGCACCCCCCGAGCAACCCTCAGCCCTCGAGCTCACTGGTCCTGCCTGTGGAGGCTACAGCCCTCCCCCCGAGGAAGCAGTGCCATTTCAGCCAGAAGGAGCAGCCTCTGGGGATGGCAGCCCACCCCCTGACAGTTCCCGAGCCTCCTCCAAGCCCAAAGAAGATGAAGAAGAAGACAATGAAGAAGAAGAAGAAGATGAAGATGATGAAGATGATGATGATGACTACGGAGATGACCTCCAGTTCTCCCCCATCTCAGTCCCGGATGAGATCCTCTTCGATGCCAGCGAGGATGCCCCCCCGCTCTGGGTCCCTGGCACCCCCAGCCACCCAGCTGGAGAGCTGGCCGGAGAGCTTCCTGGCTTCAGCAGCATCATCCCCCCAGTGGAGATCGCCAGACCCTCATTCCAAATTGGCAGCACCCCTCATGGGGTATTCGACGCTCCCGGCAGCATGGACAGCCCCCCAGACGCACGTGACAACCCATCCAGTGAGGCGGGGCGCGCAGGAGAGAGGCCTCCCGTCGAAGGAGCAGCAGCTGAGATGGGGCCAAGCTCAGGAGTGCCCGATGCCGGGCATGGAAGAGACCGTGCCGCCACTGCAGCTGCCGATGACCTCGACGGCGGGGCTGGCACCACCACCACCACCGAAGGTGACCAGCCTGATGGAGACGGCGAGTCGGGCTCCCCTACCTGGGTCACTCCTACTCCCTGGGCCCGCACTCGAGGCCCCAACGACACCGTCAAGCCCAGGGGCCCCACCACCACCGGAGGCAACCGCAACCCGCAGCAGCTCCTCCGGCCCCCGAGCCCCGAGATTCAGGTGGCCGACCTGCCTAGTCCAGTTCCTCCTCGCGCGGCTGCCCGGCGGGCCAAGGCAGAGCGAGGCCGGGCCCTCGGAGGCCTGGACGCAGCTCTCGACAGTAGTGACGACGAGCCCTGCAGCGGGGGCACCTCTGGCGATGGCACAGGCTGCTTCGGGCGCCGCAGCCGCTCCACGACCCGGCGCCACCGCAAGAGCCGCCGCCGCACCTTCCGGCAGTTCCTGGCACGAGCCTTCGGAGGATGCTTCGGGCTGCGTACCGAGAGCCCTTCGCCTGCTTCACGTGGCCAGACCAAGATTCCCATGGCTGAGAAGCGTCAGCAGAAGCGTAAGGAGGCGATGGAGAAGCGTGCTCAGAAGCGTGAGGAGAAGAAGCGCAGCAAGCTCATCGACAAGCAGCTCAAGGATGAAAAGATGGGGTACATGTGTACACACCGCCTGCTGCTTCTAGGTAATGGGCGACCCTGCCCACCAGCAGGGTCGCCGGCGGCCGGGAGGGTGGCAGGGCTGCCTGGTGGGGCGCAGGGCCTGTGGCCAAAGAGGGCCCAGGCAGAGGCAGGAGCATCTGCCAGCAACTTCCAGCCAGGGGCCCTAACTTTGCCCGGGGTGGGGGTGGGGAGGCCTCGTGTCCACCCTCCTGAAAGGAAAGCAGAGCCACACTGAGGGACGATTGTGGCTTGACAAGCCAGTGCCCTCGTCACAAGCTGTCCCAGAGCCCAGGGGAAGGGGCTTCAGGTGAGCCAGGGCCGGGGAAGGGGCCTGGGACTCCCCTGGCCACGTGGCCAGGGTCCTGGGGAAGGTGCGCCCCGCCTCGCTTGGCCCGACTGCCTTGGCTCGGACAGCTTCTGTCATTGGTGTTTGGTGGTCATCTTCTGTGTGCGCCTGTGCATGCAACGCTCAAGTGTCCCTCAGACCCTTCCCCGAGTGTCCGCCGTATGTGATCGTGTACTCGAGGGGGGGGGGGGAGCCGGCTTTGTGTGTTTGGCGCCTGGGCGCGGGCAAAACTTTGGGTGTTTGTGCACTCCTGGCGGCCCCTGCGCGCTGGCGCGGCGGCAATGCAGCGGGCGCGGTGGCGCTGGTGGCCCGGGCGGCGCAGGACGGTGGCCCGGGAGCAGGACCGCCGCCCGCACACTTGCGCAACGTGTTTGATCTGTGTCTCTCTCTTTTTCTCCCCTTTGCAATAAGCGTTAACCTCACTTCTCACTCGTTCGCCAAACCCTCCCGCCGTTGAAAAGCCGGACGCACAGGTATTGGGGCGGTGGCGGTGGCATCGTCAGCTCCGTGCTCGGCATATGCTCCTTTTACCTGTGGGGGCGCAGAGGGTGAACGGGGGACACATGCGTACCTTCAGGCAAGTCTGGATGCAAAGCCACTTGGATGGGTGCCAAAGATGTGGGCGTGGCTCTGTTAAAAAAAAATCCAAACCCTTTCTCCCCCCCCCAGGTCCCAGCCCGAGGTAAGCCGGTTTATAGATTGTTTCCCCTACCCCCCAGAGCAGAGATGTGTTTTCAAAGAGGGGCTTCTAAGTTTGAGGCTAGAACGGCACCCACATGTTTGAAATGCAGCTAAAATAAAGCAAAATTGGGGGACAAATGTTCTGAGTACATGTTCCTGTGGGCAAACATGGTAAAACTGTGACTATGACTTGGGAAATATGACAGTTGGGGCTTTTTTTTCCTGTGTAGCTTTAGCTGGAGTTGGGGGGTGGTGGCAGGAAGCTTAAAGGTAAGCTGTGCTGCTTGGCTCTGAGTTTAAAAAAACAAAAACAAAAAAAAACGAACAAACAAGTCTCGTGTTTAAAGTGGGAACCCTCGTGTCTGGCGGAAGAGTCCCTCTGGCGCCCCCTGCCCTTTTTCTAAGTGCCTCTCGTCCCTTCTCCAAGACCCCCCAGCATCCCCTCCATCTCACTGTCCCTCCTCCTCCTCCCGCATCTGGCTGTCCTCTCTTCTCAAACCTGAGGCTTTTCACTGTTTGTGCCACAGTTCATCACAGCAGCCATTAGCACAGGGCTGAATCTCTGGCTTAAATGAAAATGTCTAAAGTGGAGGTCCACCGTCTTAGCGTCCTCCCAGTCGGGGACTGCAGGAGCCCGGTTGCTAAGCCTGTGCCGTGTTTGTGCACGTACAGGTTAGAAAATGTGTGATGATGCTCTGTGTTAAGGACATTATGAATAGAACTGAATGCTGCTCTCACATATGTTGCCCTCCACTGTAGTTTTCTTTTAAAAATCTGTGTATATGATTATCTGTTTATTTATGCCCACCAAGGGAGATAATAATATTCTCATTTCCCCCAAAAAAACCGACAGAAGGGAAATGGTCTTACATTCCCCGAGCCCCAGCCCCTCTACAGGCGCAGACTCCTGGGTGACAGTGCAGAGCTCCCTGCAGATAACTGAGTTTGCCATAACAGGCCCATTTTAATATTCTGGGCAGGGTTCTGGGAAACAAACCTGATGGAGGGAGTCTGGGAGGGGATGGCTTGGGTCCCCAAAGCAGGAGATCCAAGTGGCCGTATGCGCCTTGCCCCTAACTGGCAGCACCCCTTCCATGCCGGGGTCTCAGTCACCTCATTTATGAAATAAAACTTTAGGAGCCATCCTCCACCAAGGCCTGGTTTAGCTCGGTGACAGGGTCTTCTGTCACTCGCACCAGGGCTGAAGGCTTCTCCCTTGTAATTACATGCACACAGATCCTGCAGCAGCAGCCTGCCCACCTCGGGAGCCATGTCTGGAGAATATCAGGGTTTTCCTCGGCTCCCCTTGTTTTACATGGGAAGAGGGGGTATAAGCTTAGCCAAAGGAAATATCTAGGGTCACTGGGCTTTATTCTGCCTTAGCTCCCAAGGAGTTGCTGTTTGGATGCAGCTTAGCTCAGGAAACAGGCTGCAAAACATCAAGCCTGTGCTGGCCTGGTCTGTGTCACCTTCACTCTCCAAGCTGGCTTCGTTTTGTCTTTGTGACCAGGGGGGCACCCTAGCTGGGTCCCCGTTAGTGATGGGGCAGGGGGTGAGGAGGGGCAGGGTACCCGCACAAAGGACAAGACTTTGATTAACTTTCCAGACTCAGCAGAGCAAGCAAATCACCTACTGTTTCCACGGAAGATCAGCTCGAATGCTTCATCTCCGCAGTGACTTTAAACCGTGACACACACCCTCATCTGTTGCTTTTTCATATCACATGCATGTGTGTGCGTGTACAGCTCCTGTTTTTGTTGCCCAAACAGTAAAATCACATTATAGGGAATTTTAAAAAAGAAGGAAGTCTCTATTAAAAGGTCTAATTCAATAGCACAGTTAAAATCCCAAGCAGTCAGAAGAGTGAAAACCTTTTTCCTTCTAAACACTCTCTCCACTAATAGACTATTTCTATATTCCTGTTGTCCTTGTAAATAATTCTGATGACTGAAACATGCTTTTGGAAGCCTTGTTTGTGTGTGATTCCCTGCCGGTTTCTTCAGGAGCAAGGGGGGCTGCTGCGTCTGAATTTGAGTCAGCTGCATTCAGTAAAATTGTGCAGGCAATTGCTATATGTGATAATGGCCATTCTGCTGGGATCCTCTATGAATACAGTGGGTCAGTCACAATTAATTTTATGATAATTCATTTATGCCACCAAGTGATACATTACATTCTATCTTCCAGGAGCACTCTATTTTAATTTTTTTTAATATAATGCTGCCATATTTCTGTGTTTGAAATACAACCCAAAGCATCATTTGATGCAGAGGGGAGGGGACACTTTTTCTGGCCACACAATTCTTGAGCTAAGAGACTTACATTATTTCCCCTGATGTGTGTCCCCTCTCCCCAATAGGATTGCTCTGCTTTTTTAAAATCCAGTTTCTTATAGATTTTTTCCCCCTAAAAACAATTTTTTGCTGGATATGTGGACTTACTTTTATAATTGAACCTTATTATCTATACCATGCAACCCAGTATTCAGCAAAGCAAATTGGAACTTCTCTCCTTTTTTGATAGCTCTCTGTGACCTGCCACAGCTCCATCTCGGTACTATTAATGATCAGTCATAATAATCATTGCTGTGCTGACATTATTTTCTATTCTTAAGAGCTTTTCACCTGGTTGCATTTGCTCTCTGAAACAAAATGTTGGGCAATAAAGACATTCTGTCCCCCCGCCCCTATTTCATAGCAAAATAACCCTAAAGAGCAGAGATTAGATTAGAATTTTTTTTTTTTTTCACAAAGATGCAAAGGTAAGTGACAAGAGTTTTAGGTTTCTAATTCAGACAAGTAAATGCTTGCAATAAAGGTGGCAAGAAGTGATACAATGTTGCTTCAATTAGCTATTGCTTGCTTATTGCAAACGGCTTATGTGGTCTTCAGAACCTCTGATGAAACGACAGGGCTTCTTGGTCTGCTGCTTCTTGAATTTTAGTCAAAGCCTGACACATCTACCAAGTCCTCTGACTATGTGTGAAACAGGAGTGCCAACCATGTGTGGGTACCTGTTATTGCTATGATGATACTTAGTTTCCACATTTGCTTATATTTGTCTATTAAGCACTACAATCTTAAATTGGACTTTGATTTCCTCCCCTTAGGCAGATTTTCTGCAAAACCATTATTATTATTATTATTATTAATTTTTATTTTCCAGTAGGTTTTAGGTGTTGAGGGGTTTTTTTAAGCAGAGTATACATATAGCTTTTCTCTTCAATTACACTGGAGATGGTTATAATAGTGATAATTACAATAATAATAACAATGACAGAACTTAAACAATAACAATGGCAATAATAATAACAACAATATTAATGACAAGCCATAATAATAAGTTGCTTTTCTTTATAACCCCATATGTTTTTAATGTTAGATTAAAAATAGACTGATTAGGATTCTGGCCTAAATCTAATGACCTTTTACAACAACTCTTGCCCACAATCCTTTTGGAGTGAATATATTTTAAAATGATTTAAACTTTTACTTATGTTCCAGGGCAGATTCCCATTTCGTGAGAGTCAGCGAATGGTCCTAGAGTCCCACTCCCCTAAGTCCTCTGGTTTTTATTTGGAAAGGTTGGGATTAAGTCAACAGGAAGGCTTGCTTGCAGAAGACAACATGACCGATGAGATTTGAGTTGCCCAGTGTCAGCCATGCTCTTCCTTACTGCTTTTTAGAGTAAACCCCCACCCCCAGTTAAAAACCCTTACTCCGCACCCCCAGGCAAATGAGCACCCTGTAAATACCATGAGCTAGACACATCTAAGTAGTAAGCTGGAGACTGATCTGTGAAACGTCGTGGTTTTTTAACCCTGTGGTTTTCCCCCAAGCCTAGATTTGCCCCCACTGAGGTTCCTAATGAACTGTGAAATTAGCCTGCCATTTGCCCATTTTAAAATCTGATTTCCCTGGAAAAGTAGCCATTTTCAGAATAGAGGAAGGGCAAGGGCAGTGCCTGGGACAAGGCCTCACCATCAAATTAAAACAG